TTTTAGGGTTTGATGTGTTTTCAGATTGTACTGTGTTGTAAACTGAATTAAAAATAGTCCTAAATATAAAACATGTCATGAATACTTGTTTTAATATCTGAGACAATAGAATAGAGCTGTGGTTGGGTTTGAAGTCTAGATTTTTTTATTATGTTTTTTAATATGGCTGCTTTCATATTTTAATGGTAAAAACTTTCCTCCTCACAGCATCAATGATGTACCAGTATTTTGTGAAAATTGTTCCTACCATCTACGTGAAAACTGACGGCGAGGTTAGTCGAACTGTTTCTTCATGTTTACTCTTCAAATGCACCAAAAGCATAATATGCGATTTTAAGAAGTTATTTAATTAAAAAACAAACAAGCACATAATTACAGCCTGGATTACTCGGGTTTTTGTTGTGTTTTGGTTTTCCCTTTTTTCACCAGGTGGTAAAAACAAACCAGTTCTCAGTTACCAGGCACGAGAAAGTGGCCAACGGGCTAATAGGAGACCAGGGGCTGCCAGGCGTCTTCGTTTTATATGAACTGTCACCCATGATGGTTAAATTCACAGAGAAACACAGGCAAGTTGTAACAGTAGCTTTCATTATTGCTGACCGATTTTCAAACACGATACGCTTTTACATTGTGACTCTGCCAATGCAGTAAACCTGTTTGATTTAGTAGATAGGTCATCTATAAGACTCAAGCTACCTTCATAGGCCGCATCCTTCGAAGGACCCGGCTTTCACAGTCTACGTGGGCTGGGTCCTTCAAAGACCGGGAAGGCCGTAAGTGCGAGGCTATGAAATGGGGACGGTCTAGCCTTCAGATTTGCGTCACCAGCTGTCTTGGTGGAGGTTAATAAACTCAGCCGTCTGCTCCTTGCACGCTAATATAGAACACGACACTGGAGTAAATTCTCGACCATCTCACACTTCTGTTTAATCAGTTTTGTTTGACGTTTATTCAGCTGTGTGAAAACTTTAATCAAATAAAACACTGAAAAATGCCAAAAAATAACACTTTTGTTATCTAAGATACTTGTGTATCATGTTTAACCTGAGTAGCGAAAGACCACGGGGTCTGAAAACAATGTGCCAGGAGTCCAGTATTCTCGCCTCGACCTCCCGATTAACCATCAGGCTGGTGGGTAAAAGATGGCTACGAAAGTGTCAGAGCACTTTTGCAAGTATGCAATGTCTTGATAAACCGAGCAGATATTTGAAATTTACACAGCTACAGTCTCACCTGAAAATATGTTAAAAGTTTATTTTGTGACCCAGAAAGAATTAAGTCGCTGCCGCCATTGTTGGAAACTGGAAATGGCTGAGCCGCGCTATGAATTCTGGGATAGGTTGGGCCATGAAGGATACACCCAACCCATCCTTCAAATTCGGGTAAATGAAGGATGCATTTGTCGGCCACATTTGGAGCAGCCTTCGAATTGGGACAGCCTTCGTAGCCTGGCTGTGACATAATCGGCCTTCAAATGCAGCCTCCGAAGGATGCAGCCTATGAATTGGGACATACCTTAAATATTTACTCGCCAAGCGAGTAAATATTGAACAAAAAACTCCCTTTTCACTGGAAGAAACCTCCTTCATAACTAGACTCGGGAAGGGGCAGCCGTCTGCTGAGTTGGTTGGGGATGACAGGAGGGAGACAGGAGAGTTTACAATATACACAGTGTAACTGTACATTGTGTCTAGTGGAGGTCATTAAGTGCATTTCATGAGGAAATGTAGTCCAAAAAACTGGTTTTGTAGTCTGGACATCAGATATTTAAAAAAAAAAAGGCAAGTAATCTTTATTCGTGGGAGGAAAGTGTTTAAAATGATATTTGGTAATAAAATGAAGGGTATCATTATGTATTTTTTGCCAAATCTAAATACCAAATAATTTCTCTCTCCCTGTTCAGGTCCTTTACACACTTCCTAACAGGAGTTTGTGCCATTATTGGAGGAGTATTTACAGGTCAGTGGTGCTATTTACATATGCTTTGTGTTATTACCTGTGCAATAAAATATGTATATATTATTAAAAATGCAATCAAACTGTGTCTCTGTGTTTATCCTGCCTCCTGACCTGTGCAGTGGCCGGTCTGATCGACTCGCTCATCTACCATTCAGCTCGTGCCATCCAGAAGAAGATAGAGCTGGGGAAGACATCCTAACAGCGCTCCCCAGTGGCCTCCACGGTGCAACACAGACCAAGACAATGACAGAGCCAGAAGGACAGAGAGAAGAAGGGCAGAAAAGTGGAGGGAGAAGTTTGAAAACGGGAGCACAGCTCTCCATCTCTCTGTCTTCTCTCAGGTCGAGGGAGAGAAATGCAGAGAGAGACAGAAGTTTTAAATCGTCCAGGTTTTCAATTTCTCTGCCTCTCTGTTTGTTCTTGAAAAAGTCTGGAGAGGAACTTGCGCGCTTTTGAATTTTCCTCTCCACACAGGACAGAGACAGAATCAGAGATTGATTTTTCTGTGATTGATTACAAGCACAGCAGCAGATGCACACCCAGCCTCCGGGGGGGAAAAGGACCTGCGCACCGGTCCACTGTAAGATCACTACACCAAATGATTGTTAGAGAATCATGGTTGATCCCAGTGTCTAGAGGAATGAGAAAGACAGGCCATCTATCACTTATTCACTTCATGTAACCTGGACTCACTGATGACATTTTATAAAATTGAAGCCCCAGTAGGCCTTAAAAGTCACAATCATGGAAAATACAGTTCGTGGTCTTGATTTATCAAACTTTTTGAGATTACAAACTCATTATTTTGGTTATGTTTGTCTTATTTTATCTTTCTTACTCTCAGCAAGTTCCACAAAAAGAGCTAAACCAACCATGCTCCATTGCTGCCAACTGGCTGTTTTGAATAACAGTTGTAAATCAAATGAATGACGCTAACTAACCAGCTATTTTAAGAAGTAACTGGGAAGTTGTTGTTTTTTTAGTATTTCATATTTAGATAGTCAGACATTTGTTGCTTTTGGTCTTTTTAAAAGGGATTTATTGACAAGAAAAATATTAAATTTAGCCTGACTTACAAATTCTCATCACATGTTCCCTTTATGTCTGTTTCTGTACAAGTGAGAAGATGAATTTAGTGTTTAAATATTGCTAAAATGTAATTAACCCCTCTGTCCCTCCAAAAAAATAGACTCACGCTAACACCTAGTTGATTCCTGAGATGCACTTTCCCAGTATATTAGTTTCAGTGTTGTTCCTGTGTTGAATGTCTAAAAGTTCAAATACAGCGCATAAACAAAATGTCCGGTGAAAAGATGAAAAATGTCATTTTCACCAATTTATTCTGGCGATGTGGCCTGCAGGTCTTCATCAGAGCTCTTATAAATACCCTGGCCATGTTATAAACCAAGCAAGACCTGAGTGGAGTAAAACACAGGCGTGCTAAATAGATGACAGAAATGTTTCAGTGTTGTATAAATGAAAGCTGTGTAGCCCAGCCCTCAATCTGTGTGTAGCTGGGAAAAAACGAAATGATAAAATCAGAGCACTACAAATATTCCCACATAATTTAAAGACACTATGTAAAGACGTCTGATTTTTCAATCTGCTTTTTTGAGTTGACTTAAAATAGCCTCATGTCGGTGTCCTCCATCATTATTCCACCACCAGAGGCAGCTGTCTCAGATAATCACCCCTCTTTCAGCACAGCATTAGAACTATTTGAATTGCTGAACAATAAATGAATTCAAAGACGTGATTAAAATTGTTACTTTCTTGCTAACAGTTATAACATTTAATGCCTCAAAACTATTACTGGAAGTTGAAGGAGTCATTAATTTAAAAATTCTACATATGGCGGCTAAAAAACAGATGTTGACTCTCTGCCCACCTGATACCCGAGGAGGAAAAACTAATGGGGATTGAATAAAACTCCCTCGGATTTACTGCTGGAATATTTGTTAAATTGCACCGTTTCCTTGCACAGACTTTCATCAGGTTTACACACATAGGGACATCATCTGAGTCTGAGGATTACTGGTCCGAGGTTAGTGTAAGAACTCGACGCTATGACATCTCACCGGGTTGGAAAGAAAATACAAAGATGAATCACAATAGCTGACTGGTGGTGTGTGGTTCTAATGACACATCTTCCAGACTGCACTCTACGTATCCTCCTCTCCTCAGCATCCCCTTGACCGTTTTAGTCATTCAATTTTCTTTCCCCCCTAAACCTGAACAGTGAGATTTGGTCACATGACATTTTATAGTGACTGTCAACAGAAAATTGTTGTAATTCATTTACGGTTATAGAGGAAGTTGCCTCCTTAGAGGCCAAAATGACCCCTGACTCTTCCCATAATGTGACTTGGAAATGAAATCTTTCACATGATTTTAACATCATTTTTTGTTTTCGGGATGTGCAGATGCACTGATCACTGCCTCAGGAGAGGAGCTGAATCCAACAGTTCAACATTTTGAACACAAAAAAAAGATATTCTTGAATTAGAATACCGAGGGAAGCGGTTAATTTGTTGAGGTTTGTCTATTTCTCTCATACAACGGGGTAACTAAAAATAAATCTGCTCACTAAGACTGCGGTTAAATTATTGTTTGTGAAATGCGGATATTAAAAATTGTTTGCAGCCAGTAGCTTCAGATGACGATATTCCTCCTCATCCCCATGACCCGAGTGTTATTCTCATCCAAAAGCTTCAGGCATTAAATGAGAGGGGTCAGCAGGCAGCTTCAAACCACAAGAAGAGAGCGTGTAAATGTCGGGTTGAGTCTGACTGTGTTCCTGACTCACGTGTTGAGTCACCATGTGGTGTCCAGATGTTTCTGCCAGTTTGAACTTCGCCCCGTTGTTTATTCTGAAGATTATCAGACTGAACAGAAATCTGGGTTTGAAATTGTTAGTTTGGAAACGATCTTTTCAGGCTCGGCTTACATCAATGATGAACAATTTCAAGAACATGCTGTGAGCTTTTTTGAGACTTGAGTTGAACTGAGGTTTTAGTTCATTTCATAATTTTGGGGGAAGACCAACTTTCAGTCCAGCGTTGGGTATCTTTAGCTTTAGATTCTGCAGCTTGGAACTGGGAATCAGAAGCTCTCCCTCCTGCTGTGTTCAAGGAAAGCTGGAAACCCTCAAAGTCTCACTGGACCTCTGAACTCAAAGTTCAGTTATCTGTCAATGCAGTGTTGGCCAAAAAAAGTCAGTTGCAAAGTCATTACCAGATTTCCTCCCAGTATTGATGTTTGTTTATGCAAATAACTTCTTCACAGTTCTTACTTCATCAAATCTCATCAAACTGTCCAAGTTTAAACTTGTTCTCAAATATGGTTCAAGTTATACCCACCTTCTGTTTTAACTGTTCCATGTATTGAGTCATGATGGTCTTAGGAGGACGGCAAAACATGGTGTGAATCTGTGACTGAAGCTCATGTCAGTGTGGTGGGTCCTGCTTGTTATGACTGTATACTCTAAGGATCTCTCTGTGTGTAAAAGCTTCTGAAATCCGGTTATTTTGAAAGATCCCGGTTGTTCTCAGTTGTTGATGGTTGTTTTGTTGCACCTTTTAACATCATAATCAGGGGCAGGGGTCGTGTGTGTTTGTGTGTGTGTTTGTGTGTGTATGTGAGAGAGAGGGAGAGTGACAGAGAGAAATGTATTTATATTTTGATTGTCCTCAAACAGTTTTTAAAATGACAGACAATAAATGTTGAATACACCAGCTTCCACTGTGTGTGGGTTGTTGTTGTTGTTGGGGGTTTTTTTGTTGTTTTTTTCCATCCATCCATCCGTTTTCCTAACCTCTTATCCAACGGAAGGGAATGGAGGGATAGAGTTGATGCTAGAGGCAGGGTACTCCCTATACTACACACCCCCGCGTCCACAGCCAATTTAGATCTAACATTCGTGGACTGTGGGAGGACGCCGGAAAGCCTAGAGAGAGGGGACGGTGCCAACACTGCATCACTGTGCTGGTTTTAATATTGTAATGTAATCTTAGTACCGTCTGTACAATTAATCAAATCAAACCAGAAGCAGAATTTGGATCTTTCAAAGGGAGCTATTATACTTATTTTCAGCTCCATGGTTTGGTTCTTGGACTCTAGATTAGCTTTACATGGTCAACAGTTCAAAACAATCCTTATTTATCTTATGCCTTGGTGTTCTTGTGTGGAGATCCTAAAGACAAACATGGACACAGCTTCCATGTCCGAAAAATTAAACCAGTGCAGAAGTGTCTAAAACTTGCATCCTATCTGAAAGCCACCTGATGGTGATAGCTGTGGTTCCAAAAAGACTTCCTGTCTTATAGAAGTCTATGGGAAAGTGGATCTTATCTTGACCTCTGTTTGTTTATGGGCTCAGTCACTCATTTGAACTCATCCCGAATGAGAAATTAAGCCTGTTATATAAATTTCTGTCATACTATGTTTAAAAAATGGAGGATTATCTGTGCTATGAAACACTCAATGGCTAATGATTTGTCGCATCAAACTGTTTGCATGTCCAATTGGAAATCTCTGAATCCCTGCATTAGCCCCATGACAGGCTGCAAGGACTCAGAGATTGGGCATGCAAAAAATTTCAAAGGATTCAAACCAGAACCTCTGAAACCAGTAGGTGATGGAGCTACATCCATCTTTCATACCATCTGTGGTGCATTTTCTCAGATTGTCCTCTGAAACAAGTTGTTTTACCTCCCTCTCCCTTTAATCTGGCTTTCAACTGATTGGCTGTCAAAGACATCATACAGGGAGATGAGCAGAACTAAATATCTGAAACCGAGTCCTTAGAGCTGAAGCCTAAACTTCTGGTGGGTAGGCTTTGCTTGACCTCCTTATTTATTTTTTTATGTCCAAGAGATTAACATATGGCCTTTATACATTGATTTGTTTTGTTTTATTTGTTTTTTGTTTTTGTTTTTTACTTTTTTTTCTTAATTATAACATTTTGACCCCAAAGTAAGGCAAAAGCCTGGAAGATGCTCAAGTCACACAGTGCTAAAACACTAAATTACTACTCCTGAGATTTGAGCATCTTATATTTGGCTTCCCTTTATCATAGCAGAGCTGGGATAAAGGGAGGTTACTGATTCAAAGAGAAGCTAGTGACTTTAATTGTCCTGCTGAATTATTATTTTTCCATCTTTACATAATAAAGTATTAAATACATTCCTTCTTATTTCTTAATCGGCAGTAGTTACATCAGCCACTAGATGGCGACTATATACTTCAACCAGTCCGCTTGTTTCAACTGTCCACACACACACACACACACACAGAGCGATGGAGCATCTGAATGAAATTACAGCTTGCTTGAGTAACTTCCTGTGTGTGTGTGTGAGTGTGTCAGAGCCACGCAAGGCTGAGCAGTTCAGTGTTACAGTCCACAGACAGTAGTTGGATACTGGAAATATAACTGCGTCTGGGTCATAGTGCTCTGTGAGTGATGTGAACTCAGTCACATGTACCTAATGAGCCCCAGAGGAAACAAAAATGCATATTCAGGTTCATAAAGCCCTGCCTCAGCTGTTGGGTCGTGACTTTATGTGGGGTCATTTCCCATCCAGATGTGGTTGTAAGAGATTTCTACCCATGATTGTGTTTTTGGTGAAGATCTGTGAACATTTAAAGCAGTTTCTTAATTAACTCAACTGTTTTTAATGAACTGATGATCTTATTTTAAATTGCAGAGTTTTTAAAATAATTTTTTTCAAGTTTTCTATGACAAATACAACACTACAGCCTTAAAAGACTTGCTTAGTGCTTAACAGTTTGAAGTATTATGTGTTTAATAGTAGGGACAACTTGATCCAGACAGCCGAGAGCTGTATACTTAGAACAATAGGGTCCCCCCAGACCGTGAATCAGATAATCAGAAGAGAATGGATGGAGGATGTTATCTTACAATATTTACTATTCTAGCTTACCTGCTTTCTGTCTTGGGCGGTCGAGACATCAACCTGAGGCCATCTTTGGGTTTAAATTGAGGTACGATGTGACACCTGAAAGGTCTTAGGTTTAAGGCGTTGTTGTTTGTTTTCAGGCTGAATTGTCCTGATCTCTGCTCCCTGGATTATACTGAAAAGTAGCTGTTTGTTTCACTGATGTCTGCCTGGACTGCGCATGTGTTATTGGTGCCCTTGTAATGTAGTATCTGCATGTGTCAGAATAAATTAATGAAACATTTGCCCTGATGGTTAAATTTACATCACATTATGCCCAAGTGGATCCTCTCAGACTTTTGGGCGTGGAAAGTCCTACAATGGTGTAAAAAAATGCTTGAAATGAGCACAACCTTTTAACACTGCTGCTGTCAGGTCAGACTGGTTTCTGAAGAGGGTTCAGAGGTCAGGTTTGACTACAGCTCCTGGTGCAGTTGCGAAATATCAGCAGCTTAAGAACACTTACAGCTGGTGGCACCGTGGATGTAAAATCAAGATAAGGGATTGTTTTCAGGTTTTGATGTATTATGTTAGGTTGAGTTTATGGCTGGCCTGGGGTTCAGGGTGTTTTTATAGTGGGTGATTTGCAGGTTTTGGCTGTGGGTCAGATAGTAGAGCAGGTTGTCTGCTAATTTGAAGGTTGGTGGATTGATCCCCAGCTCCTCCTGTCCATGTGTCCTTGGGCAAGATACTAGATACTAGAATCTCGAGTTTCCCTAAGTGTCTCTGTGTGTGTGAATGCTGGATCCAAGTTCTTAAGTACAGATAACAGCATTGTATGAATCTGTGTGTAATTCTCTGAATGAGATTTTTAGTAAAAAGGAGATATTTAAGTGCCAGGTTATTTACCACTGGTCAGATGTTGTCAGATGACCCACAGTCATAATTTTTTTTATTGAAAAGACTAACCTTTGGTCACTTTTTGTTGTGCTTTAACACTGTGATGGCCCAATGCATCTGTGATTTACTTTAAGGCATCTGAACTCTTCATAAAATAATCCCCTCTATCCTATGATGAAACATTTCTATCCTGGCAGGAGTGGTCTCTTCCATGAATTCAAAAGCCCGATCCACCAGACACAAGGGATTACTAAATTGTTCAAGTAGGCGTGTCCTATTTAAGCATCCAGACCAGCATCATCAAAACACCAAATGAGGGAATATCTTTGAAAAAGTGGGCTCCGTCCCTACAGCAAAGATTCAGACTTTTGGAGAATGATCCTTTGGCAGGTTGTTTAATTTGCCCCCGCCCCAGTATGTAATGAGTAAAAACATTTTTATGTATTTTGAAGATACAACACAAAATATACACTTTCATCAGTAAAGTCAAAAAGTCCTGCATCCACATGTGGCTCTGAATCACTTTGTCAGTAACTTTCAGAATAATCCTGCCAGCTCAGAGATAATCTAAGCCAATCACATGACCTCTTAAAACATAATAATGGATTGGATTGGATTTATATAGCGCTTTTCAAGGAACCCTAAGCGCTTTACAATTCCACTATTCATTCACTCTCACATTCACACACTGGTGTAGGCAAGCTACAGTTGTAGCCACAGCTGCCCTGGGGCAGACTGACAGAAGCGAGGCTGCCATATCGCGCCATCGGCCCCTCTGGCCAACACCAGTAGGCGGTAGGGTAAAGTGTCTTGCCCAAGGACACAACGACCAGGACAGAGAGCCCGGGGATCAAACCGGCGACCTACCGGTTACAGATGTGTATAATATATAAAATATGTGATGTAGCTTTTTATTTTTGCAATTTTCCCCCAAAAACCAAACAAACAAAAAAATTACCATGTGTGCATGGTATTATTGTTTTTTTCAGTGCAGTTGAAGGGTTGAGCTCGGCCGTTTTCACGCTGCAACTCCTCATCTGCATCTCATCTGCAATTTGAGTTGAAATGACAGATCTGGCATATATCCTACATCTGTCTGGATCTCATGAGGAAAGAGTGAAATTTTCATACACTCTAATGTGTTGGGTAATGTTATGAGTTTCCTGCAAACTCATTTATGTCCCAATACTGAAATTAAACAGGCCAAATAAGCTGTTATGACACTGTAGAAACTTTTGTGTTCATCTGTGCACTTTTTCACATAGTTTTTCAGTGTGGATGAAGTCACTTGAGGTCTCCACTTGCTGGCAGTAAGTGCTATAACAGCATTTCCACTGAGGGAACAAACTAACTCTTACCCAACTCGTCTTTCTTGCTCATGTGTGATTTATTATTTGTGAAGTCTGAGAACAGATTACAACAAATCTTCTTAATTAAACACCTACGCGCGCAGTACCTCATATGGTGTCCCACCCTTCAGCACACACCCTTCTGTGGCTGTGAATTCACATGCTGTAAACCGCTCGCACACTCACACACTCGCACAAGCACACAGACACATTTTACGATAACCTTAAATTATCATTATCAACTTTTGCTCATCTTCACACACAGAGACAAAAGGTCAGACAGAGTTTGCGTGTGTTTAGGGTATTTTGTGGCTTTGGAAATGCCAGATGTGTGCTGCGCTCAAACTTTAGGGGCTGGAACTGATTAAAAATTGAAACCTTTTCTGCTAGTTTTCTGTCTGTGGGATTAAGCAGCAAAGATGAGAAAAAGAAAAAAATCTAACTTTAACCCTGTAAAGCCTGAACCATAATGTACCCCGTCTCTCACACTGTAGTTGCTGGAAAAAGCTCCGGCCCCCAATGACCCTGGATAGATGGATAGATGCATGGAGTTTTTATTTACATAATCTTTGCTAAAACTGGCTGTTTTG